AAGGTCAGAAATTGTGTTCCACGGATTTCTCTCTACACCGTCGTTAAGGCATTCATTGACTGGACTATTTTGTGACCTCGATTATAGCCGCGCCTTATTGAAAAAAATCCGCCTTAAAAAGGTTTTTGACAACTACTTTTTTCATTTTATCATTTTTGGGACATAGACAAGCTAAGAAGCTTTGATAAAATTAAATGTGATAAATTTCATGTAATGTAAGTTAAATAGATTTAGAGTTGTGAAACAGTCAAATTAATGTACCTGCTAAATTGCTTGCGTTCTTTTTTCTTTGATCATGGCAGGACACGCTGCCGGGTGTCCTAAATATGCTGAAGTAAATTACCCTTTCGAATTCAAGACAGTGCAGTTTCCCATCAGTCTGCTTCGTAATGACTATAAACAAAGCTCAAAGTCAAACTCTAGGGACCTCTGCTTAAACTCCCATGAGTGCACAGAGGTACGCAGGTAACCGCGTGTGATGCTTATAGCAATTTTCGATAGGTACAGAACCCCGTACATACGTCATACATATTATAGAAAGAAAACACCCAGACCAATACAAACAAATATGTTTCTGCAATATTAGTATGATATTTTTATTTATTAATAAACAAAGAGACTAAACAAAATTGATGCGTACCTATACTGATTAATGTTATTAACCACATGCAAAGCTTCGTGAATTGCAACAACTATAATTAAATTTATTATCCAAGCTCTAAATAATCGCTACTAAGAGTAACTTATCATAAAAAAAATCCAATCGCTCAAGCTCCCAAGGGCCTACCGATAGGTCGGGTGACGTAATCTTGAAATTCTTTAAGCCGGCGCAGAACTTCCAGAAGGTTGGGCGACGCCACGGCCACTTTGAACCGTGTTTACTTCTGCAATTATATTTTATATTTATTCGATTCTAGAATATATTCCCAAAAACTCTGAAAGGTGTTTTAATTTGTATCACTTGGATATGATTTGTATTAGAAAGTGTTGTGAGTGTGACGCTTGAAGGGAAGGAAGAACCTAACCTAACCAACTGCGTATTTCTATACTGTGTAGCTGGAAATTGTGGCGGGAGCTCTTTGACGCGCTGTTTTCGGCGAAGAATTGCGCGCGCAGATTTTGACAATGCGAAATACCTACTTTAGAAGAAATACCAAGCCTTAACTACTAAGGAGTGGTTGTTTCCAGCAGATGCATCACATTGGTAAGCTGTATGTATAGAATTAGTAGAGAATTTCTAAGAATTTGTTGGTGGCAGAAAGGATGAGAGAGCTTTCAGTATTATCTTGTACATAAAAACAGCAGAGAAGTGAGAGCTTCGCCTACATCTCAATGACCGTTAGTATCCGAGTCACTCTAGGAGGCTGGATCATTAAGGGCTTCCAAAACTGGATATTGGTGGGTGATTAAAGTTGTTTCCACATCAACCAGATAGTTTTGATAGTTCCAACTCCTTGCTAGACATTGTTTTAGGGTACCTGCCAAAGCCATGATGACCCAAACTTCAATATTCACCAACATTATATCCTATATTGGGAGCATACGCTGACAAACTTTCAGCTTTTGTAAAATGACGTAGGTCTGGTGTTCACTAGCTCTTAGTCTATGAGTGAAATCGTAGATGTTCATGAGAAATAGTTCTTCAGAAACGTGGTGACTGGTTTAGTGATTGATTTATTGTAGAAAACAGTGAAATAATCCTGACACTGACACACAAAAGATATCCAGTGTCATCCAAAATCGGTTTCGTTTGACAGCTCGTGGTTGTTGCTCTATCCCGAAAGAATAACCCACCACCACCCATGGTTCTTCCTGCCTCACGGCGTACGAACCGAATCTCGGGAGAGCGCGCGGGTACTTGCTCTGGGCTCATTTCCCCGGGCGCTTTGCTTGACTCCCTACAAATTTCTCTGATCCATGTCCCTTCTCATAGTCAATCCTCCCCCTTCTGGGGCTTGACACCACAAATACGGTACTTCGCGTCGGGCTGCTATCGTTGATAAATGTCATCACTTCTTCTCATAACTTCGCCTGATTGTGTGCCAGGAGTGCGCGAACTCGCGCAGCGCGATCCAGTTACTGCGACTACTCGTGAGGTCCTGGTGATAAACAGGTCCTTGCTTGGCTCTCCGTATCACATCCTGCATCATTCCGAAGGGATATTAACTTTATGGTCTTACCTCAAGTCTGCTGAATATCTCTGGCAGCTTGGTGAGCGCGTGTTCCTTGTAGACGAACTCCTCCCCGCTGAGGTCCCCGAAGCGCGCGCCGTAGAACGACACGCGGAAATACGTGCCGAAGACGCGCTTGCCGTGCAAATGACGTAGCTCTGGCGTTCACCAGCTCTTAGTCTATTTCGTTTGACAGCTCGTGGTTGTTGCTCTATTCGTGCCGAACACGCGCTTGCCGTGCAAATGCTCGTCCCAAATATAGCTTGCTCTACCACCACTTCGGGACAACATATGGGCTGGTGCTGAGAAGTGGCAGAAGAAACTCGTTGACGGTCTCGTACATGCCAGCCGTCATCAGTTGCTGGCCTGTGTCTGTGGCTGCCTGTGTCTGTGGCTGGCTGCGTCTGTGGCTGGCTGCGTCTGTGGCTGCCTGCATCTGTGGCTGGCTGTGTCTGTGGCTGGCTGAGTCTGTGGCTGGCTGAGTCTGTGGCTGGCTGTGTCTGTGGCTGCCTGTGTCTGTGGCTGCCTGTGTTTGTGTCTGTGGCTGGCTGTGTTTGTGGCTGCCTGTGTCTTTTTTGTCACTTTCTAAGTTTTGAATTTTATGGAATTGGGAAAGAAGTACCGAGTTTGAAGCGTTCATGAGCAGACATTGCAGTTGAATATTCAAATTTTGAATTTGTTTATTGATGAATAATAAAATAAATCCTAGTAGCTCGATTGATGGTTTCATTTAATTTATTTAAACCAGGTTACCTTTAATAATATTTTTCGTTCATTTATGAAAATATCAAATTAGCCCGTAATCCTGAATCCTGATACATAAATTTAGCCTATTAATTTAACACATGTACGACTGTACTCAGTGTTGCACTATCAAATGCAATTGAAGCGCCTCTATGCCAGGGTTTTTATGTTCCTGGTCAGGCTATACTGTATTTATTATATTTCTATAAAAACTGAACTGTCATTGTAAACCCATGTCACTGTAACACAGATCCAATACTACGCAGTTGAAATAGCTTAGTAGGGAATTTATAATATGATTTTACGCAGACTAAGGCTGGGTTGCACCATCTCATTTTAACTTTGACAAACGTCAAAAGTCTGTCAAATTCCATACAAAATACACCGGTTATCGCTACAGTTACGTTCAAAGTTAGGTGGTGTCTTTCGGGTGTCATCGACTTGCCAGCGCCCGAGCAGCGTCGACTAGTTGAAGACGTTCGAAAGACGGTAGTGTAAGGGAGGCCTTTGAAGTCTCACATCGGATGTATACATTTTTGATAGAAAATAGCCTATATTGCAACGAGATAAGACGCAAGTGCAGAAAAGTTCTCGAGTGGCGACCACGGGCCGGAAGACGACGAATCGACGAATTTTGAACGATTGAAGGATCGACGATCTGGTGAAGGTCGCCGGTAGAACCTAATTGCGGGCAGCGCAGGGCTGGTTGTTATGGAAATCCTTGAGGGAGGCCTTTGTCCAGCAGTGGATAAGTGGACGGCATTTGGCTGAAACGAACGAAGACGCTTTGATGTGCTGTCGTCCGTACCTATGTGGGAGGGTAAAAGAAAGCTACTTGTGTCTGCAGCTGCCTGTGTCTGTAGCCACCTGTGTCTGTGGCCGCCTGTGTCTGTGGCCGCCTGTGTCTGTGGCCGCCTGTGTCTGTAGCTACCTGTGTATGTTGGCGAGCTTCTTGTAGTCGCGCAGCTGCTCGGCGATGGGGATGAGCACCTTGTACACCTCGTTGACGGTCTCGTACATGCCCGCCGTCATCAGCTCGCTGGCCGCGTGCTCCAGTAGAGCCTGGAGCAATCATATAAACATTATAAGATTTAAAACTTTCGCGTTCCATTTCAATTAAAATAGTAAGACACGGGTTTTAACGAAACGTCAAGCCATGAGTACATAATGTAACTCATTAATAAACGTCGCGTTAAGACCCGTGTCTTACTATTTCACATAAACATTATTATTTGATCTGCAAAAGCTACTGTGAACTGGTTGAACCAAAGAGCAAAAAGCGTTAACTCCTTTTGAAGAACAAAAGATAATACAAAAAAAAGATAAATTCCTCAGCCTTAAATATGATTGGTAAAATAGGAGCCTTTATTATCAGCCTAAAACTAACCATCTGTAGTTTAAAAAATGGAGAGAAGAGGGCGTTGCAAATCAGGTGCAAATACGCACACGTAAGATACGTACTTGCTTGGATGTCAGTGAAGAGCAAAAGAAGGATGGTGGATCTTCCAAAAGAGACAAAAGCTTTCCTAACCTGCAGGTCCTGATGCGTCAGCTGATAGTGGTGTAAAGCATCAGCGCAACTCTCATCCAACGCGTTGCATGTAACTTTCTCGAGTAGAGCCGCATCGCGCCTATTCATCACCCTAAAAGGATCTTCTTACTTGCAGCTTCTGATGATTGAGGTGGTGGTGCAAAGCATCAGCACAGCTCACGTTAAGCGCGTGTGTACGTGGGATACCTAGAGGAACTTATAGAGGATTTTGGATGTCAAAAGGAGAGGAAATTTCTTCTCACCTGTAGTTCCTGATGTGTAAGGTGATGATGTAGAGCATCAGCGCAACTCTCATCCAGCGCGTTGTGCGTGACCTTTTCAAGGAGGGCCGCGCCGCACGGTGGATCGAGCCCATACAAGGTGTTGGACATGGTGCTTTAAATGCAACTACTTAAAACAAGATTGATTTGCATATAAATTGAAAGATGAGACTTCATTCTATCAAATATCACTAATATCAAGTCATGATCTACTATCATAGTTATGTGATGCGACCGTAAAGTGAACAAAGTCAAAATCATGGATTTTCTGACTTCTGTTTGTATTGTCAATTTATCCAATTTCGTTCACTGGTTTTTTGTTATTACTTATGTATTAGCTTATACCTTTATCTTAATCTGTGTGTTAAAATGAGTGCCTAAAAAACTTCTAGCTTGGCTATTTTGACGTATTTTTAAAAGGTATTTTTTTAAATGAAAACTGCGTGTTTTAGTTGACATCTTGGGCGATCTTTAACAAACCATGAATGAGAGATGATAGATGACAACGTGGGCGATATTATTACTCAGTTTTTAGACCCTTATTTTTCCCATATTTTCGAGAAAATCACAAAAAACTAAATAAAAGCGCCTCATTTTTCCGCATAGCAAAATTAACTTAGGTAAAATTCGTTACACTAAAATAATGTCAGGTAAACCAAAGATGTTTATTTTGGTTTATAAAAAAAAAGTTATTTTAACACTTTATTCACCTGATAATATAATCAATGAAAAGTTGTTTCTTACCGATTCACTTAAACACTTTCACATTTCGTGCACACTGGGTCCTGACGGCGTTGGCAGTTGAAGCACACGCGAGGCTCCCGGGTCGGTCGTCGAAGGGACGGGAGGCGACAGGATCGCCTTAAGTTTTGCGCCAAAATCTCGTTACGGATCCAGCCGTGGTGGCACCTCTTGTATATCAAGTACAGTCCAAATAGTGCAGCAATCGCCAGCATGGTGCATATCAGCGTCAGCACGATACTTATATTGGAAATGTGATATTCTGTAGCATTTGACCCTGAGGAATTTTGGGTCAAAAACACCTCGTCTTTTTCTATATTAGACCGGCACATTTTCACTGAATTTACTTGATTTACTTCACTTTTTACTAATAATAATCGTTCTTTATGTTTCGCCCGACCGAACTCCGGCAGACCTCCAAAAATGGCAGGGTCGCCATGTAAGGATGGGAGCTCGGGAGCATAAAGTAAACAACTTCTTCTTAGCTATCTCAGTTTATTAATGAATGATTAAATAGGGATAATCGATATTTATACATACTAATACTGTTACATGTTACACACACACACTACACTAGTGAGTAAGATGGTGGTGCAGAAGAGCATTAGTGCAGTTTTCGTCGAGTACGTGCACTTTGGGTACGTACTGGCTTGGAAGATGAGAGACTATAGATGAAATAGCAAAAGAAGAATAGCAGGTCAAAGTAAGGGCTCCTGCAAACGACGCCGCCGCCGCGCCGTCGCCGCGCCTTTGCACTGTTCATACGCACCGAGTAAAACCGCCGCCGCGCCGCCACCGCGCCATCAAAGCATAATTTCGCCCGCGGCGCGGCAGCGGTGTTCACGCGGCGCGTATCAACAGTAGCGGCGTCGTGTGCAGGAGCGCTAAAAGTGCCGCTCACCTGTAACTCCTGATGTGTAAGATGGTGGTGCAAAGCATCAGCACAGCTTTCATCGAGCGCGTTGTGCGTGACTTTCTCCAGCAGGGCCGTACCGCGCCCAGCCGCTCATCTCTGCTCCGCCACCATAAAGGAGCAAAGTAGGAAGAGAGAGTAGTGGAGTCTTGTAAAGTACTTACCTGGAGCTCCTGGTGCGTAAGGTGGTGGTGCAATGCAATGAGCAAACATCAGCACAACTCTCATCCAGCGCGTTGTGCGTGACTTTCTCTAGCAAGGCAGCACCGCGCCTAACCTACAAAGGAGCAAAAGAAAGAAGGACAGAGAGCTTGGGCTCGTGAAGAGTACCGCTCACCTGTAACTCCTGATGTGTAAGATGGTGGTGCAAAGCATCAGCACAGCTTTCATCAAGCGCGTTGTGCGTGCCCGCGCACGTTTGCTTCGCCTCCATACAGAAGCAAAGTAAGAAGAGATCGAGAGTAGTGGAGTCTTAGAAAGTACTTACTTAGAGCTCCTAGTGAGTAAGATGGTGGTGCAGAAGAGCATTAGTGCAGTTTTCGTCGAGTACGTGCACTTTGGGTACGTACTTGCTCGGACGTTGGTAGACTAGTATAATAAGACCGCTCACCTGCAACTCCTGATGCGTAAGATGGTGGTGCAAGGCATCAGTACAACTCTCATCCAGCGTGTTGTGCGTGACTTTCTTCAACAAAGCCGCGCCGCGCCCGCCCATGCACGTTTGGTCCACAACCATAACCACCAGTGAGTGGGGCAAAAGAAAAATAGTGTGGGTACAGAGAGCGTGGGCTCCTGGAAAATTCTTGCCTCCTGGTATGTGAGGAGGTGAAAATTGAACATCATCCTAAAAGATCTTCTCACCTGCAGCTCCTGATGTGTAAGATGGTGGTGCAAAGCATCAGCACAACTCTCATCCAGCGCGTTGTGCGTGACTTTCTCGAGCAGAGCCGCACCGCGCCTATTCATCACCCTAAAAGGATCTTCTTACTTGCAACTTCTGATGATTGAGGTGGTGGTGCAGAGAATCAGCACAGCTTACGTTAAGCGCGTTGTGAATTTTGAACCACGTGTGTACGTGGGATACATAAAGAAACATAATGTAGAGGATCGTGGACGTCAAAAGGAGAGGAAATTTCTTTTCACCTGTAGTTCCTGATGTGTAAGATGGTGGTGCAAAGCATCAGCACAGCTTTCATCCAGCGCGTTGTGTGTGACCTTCTCAAGCAGGGCTGCGCCGCGGCCGCCCGCACACGTCTGCTCCGCGACTAAGGCAGCTCCGTGAACCAGGCACATGCCTGCTTCTGCGTGGTTCGAGCGCTGTGGAAGCAAACGTATTGACTCAAGTCTACTACAAAAATTTACCACTATTTTATTTATTTCTTATTTAAGGCACAGCTACAGAGAACAAACAATAATAATACATTTGACACAAGTACACAACAACATTGCCCCAAAAGCTTTGACATATCTCATAATCTAAAAACACATGAATTAAAGATACTAAGATGTGGCGCCTATGGGAGCCTACACAGTAGAACAGGAACAGACATTATTTATCATGTACGTCTCAAAAGGCGACCAAAGAAGAATATGCTTACGTCAAGCTTCTCCAGCCCAACAGGCCAGCGTGGGGAATGTAATGCAAATCCTGCATATCCTTGGAAAATTAGAGATGGTCGTATTACTGTAGTGAAGAGTTTCACCATCAATCCCTAATTTTTAAGTGACCCCTTTGAAAACAAAATTCCTGTGGGTTACCATAGGGGTCACTTAAAAATTAAGGATTGATGGTGAAAACGGGCATAATGCTTGCGCGGGTGCCCTCTCCGGACGTCTGACGCAGACCTGCGCTCCGCGATAGGCATCCAACTGATCCAACGCGTGTGCCTGCGTTATAAGCGCGCGACTCACACCACGCGAGTTTTAGAGTAGGCGCACACCGTTGATTTTTAGTTGACCGATAGTTGTGCCCGATTTTAAATTGTATGAAGAATCGGCCAATCGAATCGGCGTAGTGTGCATACATGCCCATACATGCCTATACTGATCAACTGCCCGACTAAACTATCGGCCGACGAAAAATCAACGGTGTGCGCCTACTCTTAGCGTAGGCTCTGAACGATCTGGATGACGGTGAAGTGAAGAGTCCCCCACTGACCTCCATATGCTTCTGCGCCATGTTGCTGAGCCACGTGAGGCGCAGGTCGGGGCTGTGCTGGTAGCCGCGCGCGATGCGGTGCATGAGATCCAAAAGCATTTCAGGGTCCTCCTGGAACTCCTTCATCTTCACCGTGTCGGACAGGATCATGTGAAGGTTGAACACCAGGTCCTTCACCTGAGGATGGAAATTGAGATCGTGAAGCTTCAGTCAAACCAAGGAGATGTCGTGTCCGCGATGGCGGTGGCGATCACTGCGCGTGCGTCACTGTATACGCTATCGCGGACGCAGGCTGAATACCTTGATATGGCTGAAGCTTTACAGTTCCAAGGTTATATCTTTAACATTATACACATAATGAGGGCTATCGTTTTTACCCTAAACAGTTGGCACCACCGACGACTATAGCAGTACCTTGCTATACAGTGGCGTCAACCATAGTGAATGCAAATGCGAAAGTTGCTACCGCTTCAGTGCTCAGCAGTTGGTTACTGACAGCCACCAGTGAGTGACAGTACCTTACTCTACAGCAGTGGTTCCCAAACTTATTTAGTCTACTGCCCACTTTGAGAATAAAATATTTTTAGCGCCCCCCATTTTTGTAGTCAAAAGTCGAGCTCAGTCGGTGTCTCAGAGTCCTCCTAGTAGATGACGCCTCCCAAGCCTCTACACAACGTCCCGATTTTTTTTCTGGGTCTCTTACCGCCCCCCTTTAAGCCTGCAGCGCCCACAAGGGGGCGTTATCGCCCACTTTGGGAAAGACTGCTCTACAGTGACGTCATCCTGATGAGTAATAGTCCTTCTACTGCTTCAGTGCATGCCAGTAAGCGTCACTTTCTTAGCCACTAGCAAGTGATTCACTCTACAATGGCGCCATTAAGTGAGTGCTGAAGCGGCAGGAGAACTAATGCATTTAAGTGCTAAAACTAGGGTTGCCAACTCTTGAAAGGACCAACCCGGGAGAATTGTGGGGGGGGGGGGGGCTGGCCCCATAGTTGCTCTATCACGCTCTATACGCGCTCGAATGAAGCATTAATAGAGACAGGAATTCGAATGGAAAGAACAAACGTGACGACCATTTTTTTTTTAATTCAGGACAGGGATTTCTGTCTTTCGATTTCGTAAAGAAGTGAACCCAGCGTAAATCCACTCGATTTTCTTCAATAACATGTGGTTGCTCTTCACGCAAAAGTCCAAACTCATCGTACAATTTGTCACTATCTATGTCAATATTTAATAATTCCTGGAGCTTAGTAATGCTGGTCCATGTGATTGGTTCTTTTAAAGATAAAATTTATAAACAAGTACGAGCAGCAATGGATGCATTTAAATTTTAGAAATACCGGAGAAAATATTGCTCTCCGGGAGGTCGGGAGGTTAACCATTATTTCCGGAGTCTCCCGGGCAATCCGGGAGGGTTGGGAACCCTAGCTAAAACGATAGGCCTCATAAAGATAAAGAGGCCACAGTGTTTTCCTGGATGTTATACAGATAAGTAAGTGACAGCACTGACCTGCTCCGGGAAGTTGGTATCGTGTAGATCCTGGTCCTTCTCAGCATACACTAGCACGGTCTTAGGTACACTAAAGGTAAAGCCTGGTCCGTGAGCACGTAGAATTATATCCAATGACCCCAAGCTACCCATCCTTATCGCTCGCGCGTAATTATATTGCTGTCGCGACTGTGCGACGGGCGCCAGCAGTGAGTGTGCGAGCGCGACAGCAACATAATTACGCGCGAGCGATAAGGATGGGTAGCTTGGGGTCATTGGAAAAAAATCTACGTGCTCACGGACCAGGCTTTAGCCGTCGTGCCAACTAGCGAGGATAGCTACATCGTCACTTGCTGAGCTGAGCTGTATGAGCACCTGAACTGACCTGCTCCGGGAAGTTGGTATCGTGTAGATCCTGGTCCTTCTCAGCGTAGACGAGTACGGTCTTGAGCGCGCAGCGCAGTGCGTCCTCGCTAAAGGTAGCTAATATTGCGACGATAGCGACATCGTCACCTACTGAGCTGTATGAGCACCTGAACTGACCTGTTCCGGGAAGTTGGTATCGTGTAGATCCTGGTCCTTCTCAGCGTAGACGAGTACGGTCTTGAGCGCGCAGCGCAGTGCGTCCTCGCTAAAGGTGGCCGACGTGCCAACTAGAGACGATAGCGACATCGTCACCTGCTGAGCTGTCCATGAGACTGACCTGCTCCGGGAAGTTAGTGTCGTGTAGATCCTGGTCCTTCTCAGCATACACTAGCACGGTCTTAGGTACACTAAAGGTAAAGCCTGGTCCGTGAGCACGTAGAATTTTGTCCAATGACCCCAAGCTACCCATCCTTATCGCTCGCGCGTAATTATATTGCTATCGCGACTGTGCGACGGGCGCCCGCAGTGAGTGTGCGAGCGCGACAGCAACATAATTACGCGCGAGCGATAAGGATGGGTAGCTTGGGGTCATTGGACAAAATTCTACGTGTTCACGGACCAGGCTTTAGCCGTCGTGCCAACTAGCGAGGATAGCTACATCGTCACTTGCTGAGCTGAGCTGTATGAGCACCTGAACTGACCTGTTCCGGAAAGTTGGTATCGTGTAGGTCCTGGTCCTTCTCAGCATAAACTAGCACGGTCTTGAGCGCGCGGCGCAGTGCGTCCTCGCTAAAGGTGGCCGACGTGCCAACTAGAGACGATAGCGACATCGTCACCTGCTGAGCTGTCCATGAGACTGACCTGCTCCGGGAAGTTGGTATCGTGTAGATCCTGGTCCTTCTCAGCATACACTAGCACGGTCTTAGGTACACTAAAGGTAAAGCCTGGTCCGTGAGCACGTAGAATTTTGTCCAATGACCCCAAGCTACCCATTCTTATCGCTCGCGCGTAATTATATTGCTGTCGCGACTGTGCGACGGGCGCCCGCAGTGAGTGTGCGAGCGCGACAGCAACATAATTACGCGCGAGCGATAAGGATGGGTAGCTTGGGGTCATTGGAAACAATTCTACGTGTTCACAGACCAGGCTTTAGCCGTCGTGCCAATTAGCGAGGATAGCTACATCGTCACCTGCTGAGCTGAGCTGTGTGTACACGATACTGACCTGCTCCGGGAAGTTAGTGTCGTGTAGATCCTGGTCCTTCTCAGCATAAACTAGCACGGTCTTAAGCGCACGGCGAAGTGCGTCTTCGCTGAAGGTGGCCGACGTGCCAACTAGAGACGATAGCGACATCGTCACCTGCATCTTCACGCGACTGAAGTTCTGCGCAAATAAAACCAGTTAGAAGAAAAAGTGGCATGAAATAGGACACGGAACAATGATTGTTGAACTTTGAACGTACATTTCTGATGTGGAATGAAGAANTCTCAATTATGCAATTGTTTGTTCATTTAATGATCGGTTTTTATTTAGAAATTTTTTTCCAGTTTTTCTCATTTCATCATGCTGAGTGAAGTTATAATGAGGAATTTTTCAATGGACATAAACATGAGTGAATCATGGGAGATGACTTCAATATAGCGAAGAAGTGTTTTTATAATAAACAATAATAAAATGGGTCATAGTTCAACTCAGAAATCATTGTTTGTTTATGAAGTAATCGCATTTAATTCTGCTATACTTTAGCTCAGGGATGCTGTGGATATCCGTAACTATCGGATATCCGAAATAAAAAAATATCCGTAACCGTAACCGATTTAAAAGTTTCGGATAAAGGCGGAGTCTAAATCTTAATATTTTTTAATATTTGTTGCTTGTCTGGAATTCCCTGGCACCATCTGATATCTCCACCTGTTTTACCTATCATAGGTGCCGTCATAGTAATTACATAAAGTGGCTATGTGGGTCGCGCTCGCGTAGCATATTGCTACTTGAATTTTACATTTTTAAAATTATAATATCCGTAACCGAAATTATCCGAAACTTCGGATAATCCGAAATGATTTCATATCCGTAACCGAAACCGAAACCGGTATAATATTATTCTAATATCCGTAACCGTATTCATTTTCTTTATACATAACAAGGCAGGTATTTGACCACAATCGCACCTGATGTTAAGTGGGATGCACTCTAGGATGGTACACATCTGCCCTACAAGTGCCTATTCACTCTCGCCTTGAAAAGGCCCGGATTATAGGCTTCGGGAAAGACAGCAGCAGGCAACAAATTCCAGTCCCTAGCCGTTCGCGTTATAAAAGAATCATCGAAACGCTTAGTGCGAGCTGGTGGAATAACATAATCGAAACTCTATATCCATAACATCCCTGCTTTAGCTGTGTGATTTTTCTTTTTTTTTTTAGTTATGCTTACGTTTCCAAGTTGATAATGTTGTCGCATGAGTGCGTAGAGAGTGGCACTAGCGTGTGCACGTGTTTGTGGCGCTAGCGCAGCGCAATGACGTAACAGAACTCGGCAGATACCCGACTCCTCGCCGCAGCAGGACCAGCCCAGCTAAGAAAAAAGGAAAGGTATTATTTTTAACACTTTTTAAAAAATAGTTTAAGGGTCTGCGTAAACGGGACTATTCCCACCTCTCGTTCCCACCACTGCAACTCCTGTGTAGCCAGGATCTACAGCTTGACCGCCATAAAAACAAAACCAATGAAGGTCAAGTTTGTCCCGGGGGAAAGTTAAACTGTCATTGGACCCGCAACGAAATTAATCAGAAGAACATAGGAGGTGTTCAAAATTAAGGTATGACTTCCCTCCATTGCAAAGCGGATGACAGGCGACAAACAAAGGTTTAAAACCTTTAGGAAAAGATTATGCACCACGGACAATAAATATCAATAAGGCTCATAAGTTAGGCCTTATGAGCAATTAGCAATTACCTGCCAATAGTAGTCTGCGTAAACGTAGACCACTAAATGTTTATGGGTGTGTCAACGTGGAAGATTCGTGACGGCATTTAAATCAAATGTGGCAAAGGCCTAAAGACTAACTTACCTTAACGATGAGGGTGCGCAGTGAGGCGAACATGTGTTGCAGCACCGTGGTGCTCTGGTTGCGTTGAAGTGCCCGCAGCACCACTTGTAAGGCAGCGCTGCAGATGCTCTGGCCGTGCTCTAAGTTGCTGCATGACTGGAATACAGTAGTTCAAGTTGTAAATATTAATCTACACTAATATTATTATTATAAAGAGGAAAGATTTGTACCTATTTTTCTATGTTTGTAATGAATAGGCTCAAAAAGTACTGGGCCGATTTAAAAAATTCTTTCACCAATAGAATGCTACATTCTTCCAATTTAACATAGGCTACATTTCATTTTGAAAAAAATTAGGGATCCTTGGTAAAACCCCGTGCGAAGCCGGGACGGGCTGCTAGTTGATAATAAAGAACAACAACAGCCTGGATAAGAGTATGAAGGGTTTGGCAAACAAAAGGCGTTTCCGGAGCATATCAGCATTTTAGCGTCGAGCTTTAACGGAGACTTGTATTGCAACTTATAAGACGCAAACGTCTAAAGTATGCATAGCTAAACCACTCTTCACACGCACTTGCAGCAGGCTGCTCATTGTGCGGTAGCCTGGTGATGCAGTGTGCGGTGTACACACTTGTGTAGCGGCACAGTACGTGTAGCCACGTGCTGGTCGCGTGTACCTGTACGATGGTCTGGTCTGGATGGTCACGCGGGCGGCGGCGCGGCGGGCGACAGCGGCTGCTGTGCGCAGTACCATCCTTGCGGCGGCTGCTGTGCGTAGTACCAGGCCTGTTCCTCTCCACGAGTTTACATCGAAAATAAAACACGCACGATGGCCCGCGTCAGTGATCGGCACTGCGCCGAAGCTATAGGGCTGACTTCGGTAAAATGATGTGACGTGAGGTGCCAAACTGCGGAAAATGGCGGAGGAAATACATGATTTAGCATGAATTATCATGAATATTAACTACTTATTTAGCTCTCAGTGTCTTGAGGCAACTTAAAAAAGTACATTCTGTGTTTTTATTATTATTTAGGCAGTTAAATACTGCACAGTATTTAGTACACCATTTCCTTTATTTTTTCCATCACACACAAGAATACGCGTGCGTGAGTCAATGCTCGCTCGTATGTGAGGTCTTGTCGAATAGTAATCCTGTAGGGTGCCATGCCATCGTGCGTGTTTTGTTTTCTATG